TCATATGGCATGGACCACATGTGTTATTTGGAGAAACAATTTTTTGCTCTTTTATCCATTTTTAACTGTTGTTTAAAGTTGTTCAGTTGGATGAAATCTTTATATATTTTGGGAATTAACTTGTTTTTGGATATGTGCTGTGCAAATATTTTCTAACAGTCACTAGTTGTTCTGTGAATATTTCTTTATCTGTGCAAAGGTTTTTCAGTTTGTATCTTTAAAGATGTATTTATTTATGCATACAAGAACTGGGGTACAGGCCAGAGGTGTGGGAGGTGACAGGATTCACCAGAGACAGAGCGGGGAACAGAACAGGCAGACTGACGTAACACACTGTTGAGGGAAGCAGTGCGTGCAGCAGGAGAGGTCTGCTGTGCCATGTGGGTAGCTCCCTGGCTGGCAGGAATCAAACTCCTGCTGCAGAGGCTACGGCCAGCTTCATAGTGCTGTGCTTAACCCCTTGTGCCAGAATTAATCCACTTGTTTATTTTTGTTTTTGTTTCTGTGCCATTAGAGTGAGTCCCTGAATGCATCTCTGAGGTTGAGATCCGTGAGCACATTGCCTCTTTTCTTTTATGTATTTTATGCCTTAAGGTCATGCTCATCACTTGGGAAACTGCGAGGGTTTTGGAAGATCTGTGCTACAAATGGTATACAGAACAAATATATGCTAACTTATGCCATGGAATGTTATCTAGCAAGGAAAAGGAATGAAGTACTGATCCATACATTGTACAGCATGCAGGAACCTTGAAAATAGAATAAGTGAAAGCAGCCAGTCACAAATAATACCTATTGTGTGACTGCATTTACATGAATTGTCTGTAGTAGACAAAAAACTCCACAAATACAGAAAACAGATGTGTGATTTTTCATGTACTATAGAGGGAGGGACACAGGGAGGATTTGTTATTGGGTTAAGTTTCATTACCTCAGAAGTTCATGAATATGTCCTAACATTAAGTTGTGGTGACAGTTCTACAACTATGAGTTCCTAAAACCCACTGAATTGTACACTTTAAAAAGGGGAATTTTTGGTCTATGAATATAGTTGATATTTAAATTAGATGAAGAGGGCCTCCCTGGTGGCATAGGCAGTTGAGTGCTGCATTGTGAATTTGTCCGCAGCCACTGCAGTGCGGGTTCCATCCTGGCTGGCTGGCAAGGGTCCCACATGACTCAGCAGACCTCTCCTGTCTCCCACTGCTCCCCTCAGCAGTGTATTTTGTCAGTCTTCCTGTTCTGTTCCCCACTCTGTCTCTGGTGAATCCTCTCAGCCTCCTGTGCATCTCGCCTGTATCCCAGCTCTTGTATAAATGAAAAAAAAAATCTTAAAAAAATGGAAAATAAATGAAGAGATTGCTTACTTGGGCATTTAAATTCAATTTTAAAAACCCTGTAATGGGGCCTCCCTGGTGGCACAAGGGGTTAGATGCAACCTATGAAGCTGTCTGCAGCCGCTGCAGCTCAGGTTCAGTCCCTTCCAGGGAGATAGCCACATGTCGTGGCAGACCTCTCCTGTCTCAGTCTGAGCTGTTCCCCTCAGTGATGTATTTCAGTCAATCCACCTGTTCTATTTCTCACTCTGTCTCTGGTGGATCCTCTCACTGCCCACAACCCCTGCATCGCTGGCCTGTACCCCAGCTCTTGTATGCATAAATAAATAAATCTTAAAAAAAAAAAACTCTGTAAGACCACAGACGATACTGACTTGTGGTCAGATCCTGTCCTGGTAGACAATTTCTGTCCTCTGGGTGACATTTATGCTTGCTGTCTGCATCTCAGGGGCAGATTACTCTTTGCCCTCCCTGGACTCTAATATGTACAAGGCAAGGCCATGTCTTCCAGGTTTTGTCTCCTGTACTGAGCACCTGCTGTGCTGAGCTTGCAGAAGGAATCATACATGTTTGTTAAGTGCATTACGTCCCATTCACTCATCTCATCTATACTGATCAGTATCAATATAACACATGTATCATTAAGAGAGAAAAACTGACCCCAGAGTACAAGGCAGAGATGGTCTGAAATCCAAAGTGCTTTGGTGAAACTCATATAAAAGCATCAGGAGTGAGTGATAGATTAATTTACAGGGACCCTTGATTCCTGGATTTGCACTACCCCACTCAAGTCTGTACTACTTGTATGAGCCCTTTACAGAAATAACGGGCACGTTTTCAGTTGTTCTAAGTATACATATAAAGGCTATTTCTCTGCCCTATGCACCAAAGCGTTCTTACTTGTGTTCCTTGGCATCAAATGCTGCATGTCTGTCCTCTCTGAAAACAATTTTAACATCAGTAGGAAAGCCTTTAACTCTCTGGCTCTGGGTTTTATTTTCCTAACAATTAAGCTGTCATTTCATACTGTCCACAGTCTTCCACTTCTTTCATTTTTGGACCATATAAAGTGGGGATAAATTATAAATTTGACTCACTCAAGATACTAACTGAAATCATTATTCTGTTTTATCAGTGTCCAGAATGTAAACAAACAGGTCAGATTTGTTCTTCAATAAAATCAGTGTTATGCAATGGAAGGCTGTGATTGCTTAGTATAATAAAACTGCAAGCAGGGTGACCATGTGGTGTCAGTCACAGAACATAATGCAGACACAAAAAGGTGAGAGTCTCACGGGTGTGTCTAGACCTAGAGAGCACAGATGTTTTGGTGGAGGGACATTCATTATCTACTGAGCGTTTGGTGTCCTGAGTCCACCTGGAGCAGGCTCTCCTTGGAAGCATGAAGTTGTCTATCAAAGTCTTGTTCTGGATGTTTCACCTGTAGCCCAGCTTCCCCTTCCTCACCCCCATTCTAATTCAGGCTCCATTTCTGTGTCCCACTTTGCCCAAGGCAGTCCTGGGAAATGATTCAATTCCTTCAGGAAACCCATCATGTTGTAGAAGAGATGAGGTCTATTACCTTGAATCTGTAGGTGACAGTGGGTGCCAGCACTTGATGTTAATGGAGTTTTGAGGGCACAGCTGGAAAAGGAAGTGTGCTAATTAGCCCTGACTTAATGGATGCTGGACTGGGTGGGGTTATATAATCACCATCTCTGGTGCAGTCCTCATTTAAAGCTGAATGCATTTTAAGCACTTAGGGCCCCTCACACATCCCAAAAGAGCCACGCCAGGGCCTGTAGATTTGAGACAACATTGTTCTTCAGGCCATAGTTCTGCCCCTCAAAGACTGCAAGCACACTACCACCCAAGGCTTGCCCCTGCTGGTCCCCCTGCTTGTCCTTCCTTGCTTTCAGAGAGGCTTTCCCTGAAGTCTTGATTTAAGATAATATGGCCTTTCTTCTTCCTTGCTTATTTCTTCTCCATAGTGTTAATCGTCAAGCTATCCACCACACTGCCAGCTTAGTGATGTTGATGATGTGTCATCTTTTTCATTTTTATTATAGAAGCACCATTGGTTTACATTTTTGTTAGTGTTTTGGGAGTATAGAATTTCCCCCATCAGGTGCAAAAACCTATACTTGTCTGCTTAGCAGAGATGAGTGGACTTCCTCCCAAAAATGGAGTTTTTTTTTAAAGGAATAGAGGAATCAAATGAAAGAATTCTCAGTGGCCATATGGAAGAGATAAAGTGGTGTATACATATCATACACACACACACACACACACACACACACATGGAATACTACTCTACAATTAAAAAAAAGATAAATTCACACCATTTATGGCAACATGGATGGAACTGGAAGCTATTATGCCATGCAAAATAAGCCAGAAGGGCAAAGATAAATACTGGATGATGTTACTTTTCTGTGGAATAAAAAGAAACCAAACAAAGTTTGTCAAAGACAAACTTTAGTGTCTATAAATTCTTGATGATGTGTCTTCTTACCTAGGACACCAGCACCTTGATGGCAGGGGACAGCAGAGTCCTTGTACATCAGGTAGGCTGGGTTAACAGTTTAACCAATCAACTCAATGCCTTCCAGGGATGGATCATATTGCACAGGTTATGTTGGACCTGCAGAAATGTTCTGACAGGTCTATGACTCCAACCCCCAATTTAAAAACCAATAGCAAGTCCAGATTTGATTTTACAGTCGAGTCAGTCAGAGTTACCTGTGTGGCGGAAGATGTAAGGACCAAAGGCTATAGGAATCTCTTATTTTGACAAGTGCCCTCAAAGACATGCTCGTCCCTCAGGTCATTAGCTCATGTTCCTTCGTCTAGCAACTTATAAACACGGATAGGACTGTGGACTTTCTGGACATTTTCTTTGCTTCTCACCAGAGGAACTCTTCAGAGCAAACAAAGTTATTGTCTTGCTGACTTTATTGTCCCAGGCAGCCTTGCCAGTGTGGAAAGGACATTTCCAGCAGAGCAAACCATGGAATTCTTTCCTTCTTTTTGAGTCTACAGCACCTTTTCCAAAATCTCTTTCTGTAGGCATGTGTCATACAGTGTAATACAGTTACATTCTATTGTCATCATCTGTGTCACATTCTGGTATCCCCGAACTTGCAAAATGATTCTTTAAAATGTAGGTAGACCAAGGGTCATTCTTAGTGCTGTGAGTTCTATGGGTTTTGACAAATGCATGTTGGTAAATGCAGCTATCTTAGTATTTTCCCAATAAGTTATTTGTATTTTTAACATCATTTTTGCAGAGCATAAACTTTTAATAAAGTGCAAAGGTCTGTTTATTATTTCATAGGTCATGCTTCTAGTGTTTTACCTAAAAAAGTTATTAGCAAATCCAAAGTCACATCTATTTGTATTATTATGTCATATTCGAGAAGTTTTATAGTATTGCATTTTACTTTCATGTTTATGATTCAATTTGCATTTGTTCATTTTTAAATAAGGTTTAGGTCTGTATCTAGGTCCATTTTATGAGTGTTGTTGGCTTTCTGTGTATAGGTCTCCTGCAAATTTTGTTAGATTTATGCTTAGATATTTATTTTTTTCTTTTTTTTTCATTTTTTATTATTTATTTATTTTTAAAGACTTATTTATTTATTTATTATTTATACAAGCACTGGCTACATTCAGAAGCATGGGAGGATGAGAGAATTCACCAGAGACAGAGCAGGGAACAGAACAGGCAGACTGACGGAGTACGCTGCTGAGGGGAGCAGCGGTCGAAAGGAGAGGTCTGTGCTATGTGGGAACCTTGTTGGTGGCTGGGGATGGAACCAGTGCTGGAGAGAATGCGGGCAGCTTCACAGTGCTCAACCACTGCGCCACCAGGGGAGACCCTGCTTAGGTATTTCATTTGGGGTAGTATTTTTATAATAGATAATGTTTCTTTAATTTTATATCCCAGTTGTTTGTGTTGCTTATGGGGAAACTAATAAACTTTCGTATATTGACCACATACCCTGCAACCTTCCTGTAATTGCTAATTATTTCTGAGATTTTTTAAGATTTCTAGTGGTTTTCATATAATATGTATTCCCTTTATAGCTTTTCTTTTCTTTTACTTATCATATTAGTTAGGACAGCCACACAGTTCTGAATTGGTGTAGTGGCAGAGGACAAAATGGCCTTTTTCTCCATCTGAAGAGGAAATCTATTTGGTGGCTCATCTTTAACTGTAATGTTAGTTACATGTTTTCTTTTATACATTTAATTAGTTTAAGGAAAAGCCCCTTAAATTCTGGGTTTTTGAATTTACTTTTTTTAATTTTGAATATGTGTTGAAATATATTGAGTGTTTTTATGTCTGTTGATACAGTAATATATTTTTTCATATGCACTCTTAATGTAAACTGTTATATTACTTGATATGTAAGTGTTGAACTGGTCTTGTATTACAGGAATGAACCACACTTAGCCATGATGTATATAATTTTTCAATAATTTTAATACAAGTCACTGGATGTGATTTTTTTAACATCTCTAGTTTTTCAGTGTTATTATCTTTTTATTATATTTAGTTGTTTTGGTTTACAAAGTAATTATGGTCTCAAAAATGAATTGTGTTACGCAGGAGGCGCAATACGGAGGCAGAGTGAAGACACAGGGCTCACCGCCGCCATAAACTCACAACACTGTGCAGGACAACATCGATGCCCCTGAAAGAGAAATGGGTGACCAGGGCACACACCAGGAGCAGGGACCAATGGCAAGAAACTGGGAAAACGTTAACTGACCTGCATCTACAGTTATACTGGAGCAGAATTAAACCCCCTACAGATGTGGACTCGGGGACACAAGCCACATTGGGGACTTTGGAGATTCAGCACTTCCCTCAGCGCTGGGCTCAACCCACTGGGCCCTCCGGGAGGCCCTATTTTTGAAGATACCGTACCAATTCTCTACAGCTGTGAGTGTTTTTCTGATGGTAGAAGGTACATAAATACTTCATACCTATAGATGCACACACAAGCCACACTCATGTAGACTCATATGCACACACTTGCACACAGTGCAAGACATGCACATACACCTAAAGGAAAGAGTGCAAATACCTAATTCCATACTCACAGCTAGCTCTGCTTCACACTCCTGTCTCGCTGTCTTATTACCATGTGACCCCTCTCACTTTTCTAAAATTTTCTAAATGCTTTCCAAAATTTTCTAAATTTTCTAAACTTTTCACTGCTGATACAAGAATGTTAAAGGAAATTTAGGTCTCTGGTGTCCGATGTGTTGGAAGTGTGGGTGCAGTCATAAACGGGAAGCAAACGTGGTCAGTTTCATACACCATTTTAATGTGTCCTGGGGTACACATTTTAACTAAACAATCCATTTCAGACTGTCTCCTCCAGGCAGAGAAAGAACATCCAGATGCCTCCATGCCCCAGGGCCCCGCAGGCAGAGCAGGTCACCTGGAGGTGTCCCTGCAGTGGGAACCAGTGTGCCCACGGCGGCCGCCTCCTCGTGCCCTTTGGAACCTGCGTGGGAAGAGCAGAGCCAGTGAAGCCCAAGCACGGAGGAGGCTCTTTCCATAGTGACACCCCCCGGGAAGTGCTGCATGGACAGAGATGCGACAAAACGCAGATGGAAACCAGGAGGCCCTATCGAGGCGCCACTCACTGGCGGGTAAGCAATTCTCAAAGTTGGAATCTCCGTTGTGAAAAGGGGCTCAGTAGAGAGGGACTTCCTACCGTGTATGTCAGTCCCTGACAGCGCCAGTCAGCCCAAAGAGCTCCTGCCTCGTCTGCGCCGTCTGGGTGCCCAAGGGCCACCAGCAGGGCCCTCACAGGATAGAGCCTAAGATGGGGAAGCAAGGCCATGGGGTCCCAGCCTATGGCCCTGGGGCCTCTGGGGGCTCAGCCCGCACAGCTCCACTCCCATCCCGGGCCCTGCACCTGCTCAGCTGCCCTAAGCCCTCCTCTCCCCCCTTCCTCTGCTCTGTTCCCCTCAGGTGCTTCACCAGACCCGTTGTCCTCCCTGCCCTTCATCTGCTCTGCTCCTGGGACTGCTGTGCTTGCGGACATCTGTGCTCCACGCCTGTGTTCTCATGCTGCTCCTGGCCCCTCTGGCTGGGCCCAGCCCCTGACCCCTCTCCAGGTCTTGGCCTCCGCTGGTGTGCTCCTCTCACTATGGCCACTGAGTGACTGCCCTGGAGCGGGGAAGTGAATTCTAGGGAGGTGCTGGTGACCATCTAATCCCCAACAGGGTGAACTCTGCTCTTGTGTTTTCTTCCGAAGGGTGGACAGAAAATGCAACATTTTAAAATCCTATTAAGGATTCAACGAGCTCTGGCCTTGTAGCCTCCGCTGGACTGAAGGGTGGATTGGGAATGGTGTTCATAGCCCAGTGTCTCTGCAGGGAGTGGGCTGAACAGGGGCTCCTCCTTGGGGTTATTCGGGTGGTGCTGGAGAGCTGGGGGACTGGGCTGGAGGTCTTCCTAATGCTTTCCTGGCCCCCCTCCAGCTGGGGGCCTAGCAAGATGGTGCTGGGCTGCAGGGCTTCCTCCTGTAGGGGGCCTGGCAGTGATGTGGTGTTGAGCCCCCAGGCCTCCCGCAGCACAGGCCCTGACCTGGAGGCCATGCTGGGCTTCCAGGCGTCCGGCAGCAGGGGCCCTGAGCCAGAGACAGAACTCTGCAGGCTGGCATCCTTCTGCGGGATGCCTGGCCCAGAGGTGGTGGTGGGCTTCTGGGTGTCCTGCTTCGGGGACAGTCCCACCCACAAGATTTCCCACCCCGAGACCTCAGGCTGCCGGTGGTCCTCTGGTATCGGGGCACAGTGGGCCCCATTGGGACTGAGGAGCTTGGGGAAGATGGTAGGGTCCGGCCCCTCCTCGCCCACCCACTGCCTGGAAAGCAGCATGAGGTAGGACCACATCACAGGGTCATACCTGCCCTCCAAAAGCGCCCTGTTGATGACCTCCTTCTGGAACCCCAGGCGGACCATGGCTTCCATCACGGCCTTGTGCTGGCCCGGGGTCGGCTCGGGGCAGGGTGGGAGTCTGTTGGGCAGCCCCACCCAGGGGTGCTGGATGATGCTGTCCAGGGTGCTGCGGCTCTGGGGGTTGAGCAGCATCATCTTCCTTAGCAGATCACGGGCACTGCTGGGAGAGGTATTACGGCTCGTTGTAGACGCCGCTCAGCACCCTGCCCGCAGCTCCCCGAGGCTGTTGCCCTTGAAGGGCAGCTCCCCGGTGACCATGTCGTAGAGGACCACCCCCGGGCTCCAGATGTATGCCGCGGGGCCACTGTACTCCTGGTGATGGAGGATCTCGTGCGCCACAAACTGCGGGCTGCCACAGGGGGTCTTGAGCAGCGCTGTCCCAGAGAACTGGGCACTGAGCCAAAGTCTGCCAGTTTTATGTTTCGGTGCCGGTCCAGGAGCAGGTTCTCTGGCTTCAGGTCCCGGTGCACCACGCGCCTCCATCTCCCCCAGGTGCCCACACCTGCACAGGTAGTCCTGCAGGTCGCCCCCCTGAGTGGCAAAGGCCAGGTCCAGACGCTATGGCCCTGTGCCCCTCGGGGTACGGCCTGGCTTCTGGAAGTGGTGGGTTCGCGTGAGCAGTGGGTTCTGCTGCTGCTCAGGCTGCAGGTTCCCCCCGCCAGGCCAACCCTGATCACTCAGGCACAGCATCCGATGAGGACCAGGTCTCCCCTGAGCAGCCTGGAGCGCGGCCAGAGCCCCGAGGCTCAGAGCCTGGGCTCGGGGGTCGGGCCCGGTGGCCCCAGCACCACGCGTCCCAGGCCCAGAGAGCGGAGGGTGTCATCCTCTCGGGGGACAGGACGCCCAGGGCAGGTTCTCTTGGTTCCGCCCCCCGGGGACCTGACCCAGCAGCGGCCAGGAGAGGCCGTGCTGCTCCTCCTGCGACCACCGCTGCTCCCGGCTGCCACGCAGAGAGGTCGCAGCCTCTCCCGTGTCTGGGGTGGACTCGTGGGCCCGTTCCTGTCTTTCTCCCCAACCTCCACGGCCACCTCAGGGGAGTCCGCGGTCTTTGGCCGCCTGTGTCCATGCCCACCTCAGTCTCAGGGGCTGCAAACCCCACGGAGGCTCCGCATCCCTCTCGCCTCTGAGAACCCACGATGCCCCCACCAGCCTGGGATGCTGCGCGTCACGGGCCAGGGCTGCGGCCCCGCACTGGTTCCTCCCCTTCCTTCAACCTCCCCCACACACAGGGAAGAGCAAGAGCATCAATCAGATCATCTCTCGCTGGCCTCACGCCTTCCCGTGGCCCTGCTGGGCTTGACACTTCCCCAAAAACCCTTTGCACAGGCTTCCCTGCCCCGCTGGCCTCAGCCCTGCCCCCGCTCACCTCCCATCCCTGTCCAGCCCTGCTGGGTGAGCTGCCCTTCTTTTTTGTCTTTAATTTTTTTTTAATATTAAATTTTATTTTTATATTCCCCCATACAATTGCAAACGCCCCATTCTGACCCCAATCCTTCCCTCCCGCCCCCCACCCCCCAAAAGTGTCTCTGGTTCATAGTTTTTTGTTGATTTTGATTTTCACTTTCTTATATTCATTTTCCTGGTCCCTTATTTAAGTTTTCTGGATTCCTGCTATGAGTGAGACCATCCGGTATTTTTCTTTTTCTTTTTGGCTTATTTTGCTGAGCATGATCCCTTCCAGCACCATCCATGTTGCTGCAAATTGCATGTGTTTATCTTTTTTGAATGCTGAGTAATATTCCATGGTATATATGTACCACATCTTCTTGATCCAGTCATCTATTTTTGGGCATTTGGGTTGTTTCCAAAGCTTAGCTATTGTAAACAGTGCTGCTATAAACATAGGGGTGCAGGTGCTCTTTGGAATTGATGTTTCTGTGTCCTTTGGGTAAATACCTAGGAGTGGAATTGCTGGATCATAAGGAAGCTCTATCTATGTTTAGTAGGTCCAGAAATCTCTACACAGCTCTCCATAGTGGTTGGACCAGTTTGCACTCCCACCAACAGTGCAGAAGAGTTCCTTTTTCTCCACACCCTCGCCAACATTTGTTGTTGCTAGTTTTTTTAATATGTGCCATTCTCACTGGTGTAAGATGGTATCTCATGGTAGTTTTGATTTGCATTTCCCTGATTACAAGTGATGTTGAACATTTTTTCTTATGTCTGTTGGCCATTTGCATTTCCTCTTCAGAGAAGTTTCTTTTTAGCTCTTCTGCCCATTTTTTGACTGGATTATTTTCTTTGTTGTTGCTGAGTCTCATCAGCTCTTTGCAGATTTTTGTGATCAGTCCTTTATCATTAGTGTTGGGTGCAAAAATGTTCTCCCAGTTGGTGGGGTTTCTCTTTGTTTTTGTTATTGTCTCTTTTGCTGTGCAGAAGCTCTTTAATTTGATGTAGTCCCAGCTGTTTATCTTTGCCTTCACTATCACTGCTTTGGGTGATGTGTCTGTAAAGATGTCTTTGATGTGCAAATCCCGTAGTGTTTTGCCTATATTTCCTTCTATGTATTTTATGGTTTCAGGTCTTAAGTCTAGTTCTTTAATCCATTTTGAGTTGATTTTTGTGTATGGTGTGAGGTAGTGGTCAAGCTTCATTCTTTTGCATGTAGCGACCCAGTTTTCCCAGCACCATTTATTGAACAAACTTTCTTTGCTCCAATGCATAGTCTTTGCTCCTTTGTCAAAGATTAGTTGACCATAAATCTGTGGGTTTATTTCTGGATTTTCTATTCGATTCCATTGGTCTGTATGTCTGTTCTTGTTCCAATACCATGCAGTTTTGATGATTATGGCTTTGTAGTATAGTTTGAAGTCTGGGAGTGTGATGCCTCCATTCCCTTCTTTCTTTTTCAGGAGAGCTTTGGCAATTCGGGGTTTTTTGTGATTCCATATGAATTTCATCAATAATTGTTCTATTTTTTTGAAGAATGACATTGAAATTTTGATTGGAATGGCATTGAATCTGTATATTGCTTTTGGTAAGATGGCCATTTTAATAATGTTTATTCTTCCAATCCATGAGCAGGGGATGTCTTTCCATTTCTTTGTGTCTTCTTCTATTTCTTTTAACAGTGTTTTATAGTTTTCTTTGTATAGGTCCTTTACCTCTTTTGTTAGATTTATTCCCAAATATTTGATTTTTTTTGTTTCGATAATAAAAGGGGTGGTTTTTTTGATTTCTTCTTCTTCAGATTTATTGTTTGTGTATAGGAAGGATACTGACTTTTGCGTGTTGATTTTGTATCCTGCCACTTTACTGAATTGATTGATGAGTTGAATTAGTTTTTCTGTGGAGATTTTGGGGTTCTCTATGTATATTATCATATCATCTGCAAATAGTGATAGTTTGACTTCTTCTTTTCCTATTTGGATTCCTTGGATGTCTTTCTCTTGTCTTATTGCTCTGGCTAGGACTTCCAGTATTATATTGAAAAGCAGTGGTGAGAGTGGACATCCTTGTCTTGTTCCAGATCTTAATGGAATTGCTTTCAGCTTTTCACCATTGAGAATGATACTGGCTGTTGGCTTGTCATAGATGGCCTTTATGATGTTGAGGTATGTTCCTTGTATCCCAAGAATTTCAAGGGCTTTTATCATGAATGGGTGTTGCACTTTGTCGAAAGCTTTCTCAGCATCTATTGATATTATCATATGGTTTTTATATTTCTTTTTGTTGATGTGTTGGATAACGTTGATTGATTTTCGGATGTTAAACCATCCTTGTGCCCCTGGAATGAATCCAACTTGGTCGTGGTGAATTATCTTATGGATACATTGTTGGATTCTGATAGCTAAAATTTTATTGAGGATTTTTGCATCAGTGTTCATTAGGGAGATTGGCCTATAGTTTTCCTTTTTTGTGTTGTCCTTATTCGGTTTTGGTATTAGTGTAATATTGGCTTCATAGAACGTGTTTGGTATTGTCCCTTCCTTCTCAATTTTTTGGAAGAGTTTGTGAAGGATAGGCACTAATTCGTCTCTGAATGTTTGGTAGAATTCATTTGTAAATCCATCAGGTCCTGGGCTTTTGTTTTTGGGGAGGTTTTTGATTACCATTTCAATTTCGCTGCTTGTAATTGGTCTGTTTAGGTGTTCTATTTCTTCTTTATCTAGCTTTGGGTGATTGTAGAGTTGTAGGAATTTGTCCATCTCCTCTAGATTGTTGAACTTGTTTCCATATAACTGTTCATAGTAGTTACTGATTATTGTTTTGATTTCTGCTGTGTCCGTTGTGATTTCTCCTCTTTCATTGATGATCCTGTGTATTTGTGCTTTCTCCCTTTTTTCCTTTGTGAGCCTGGCTAGGGGTTTGTCTATTTTATTGATTTTTTCAAAGAACCAGCTCTTGGTTTCATTGATCTTTTGGATTGTTTTTTTAGTTTCAATTTCATTTATTTCTGCTTTGGTTTTTATTATTTCTTTTCTTCTACTGTTTTTGGGGTTTTTTGTTGTTCTTTTTCTAGATCTTTGAGCTTCGAGATTAGGTTGTTTCTTTGAGTTCTTTCTTGTTTTTTGATGTGAGCTTCTATTGCTATATATTTTCCTCTTAT